CTTTTGTGGTTGCTGTGCTTGGTGATGCAACTGGAATGATGGCTGTTGTGGTGATTACTATTGCGGCTGTTGTTGTGATATTTTATGAGCATCGACCGTAGTCACAGGTGCCTTTCCTCTACCTCGAGGAACAAAGTTTTGTTTTGGAACACTTTCCGTCGATTGGCCTCTCTTGGCCTTCTTTCTTTTGAGGAAGCATTCGGCTTATTCTCCGTGCACCTTTAATTTCTTCTAGGTTTTAGATGGCACCACTCCCTTAGCTTCTAGCACATCCAGAGAAAGGTTATTGTGGGAAGTCTGCAAGATGAACTCCTCCATGACCGGATCTTAGTAGTTCATCACCTTGTTTCGAAAGCGCTTAATGAAGTAGTCAACTGACTCTCCGCCTTTTTTGCTTCTTGTCTAGCAGAGTTCCTATCGACACTTTGGCGTCGTCGTCGAAGAAGTTGCTGAGGAATAAGCTTTCCATATCGTCTCAGCTCTTGAGATGTTGGTATTAATCGAAGGTAACCTTGCGAAGGGTGCCTACGAATGACCGGACCATCAAGGGTTTGTGTCTAGAGATTATGCCCAAATGAGACTTGAAATAGATTAAGTACTGAGTAGGTGAGCCTCTCCTATCAAACTATGTGAAGTTAATTAGATTGAACTTTGCCGAATACGGAATTAACTCCTACTCTCTCGTATATGGGCATGGAATGCTGGTCTTCTTTACTTCTTGAGCAGACATCAAAGCATTAACTTTTCTCTCGAGGTCTTTCATCTTCTTATCCTCGCCTATATCCTTCTTCGGGTGATGTTGAGAAGAGTCAATTGGACCACCCCTAGCGTTATTATTGTTAGGAGGAAGGTCAGCAAAAATATGTTCATCCACATCTGCATCGCTGTCTTCAGTATTAGCCTGAATCAATATGGTATTACGGTGACTGGACTCAGCCTATTGACTAGGTTCAGGTTGATGTTATGGAGCTTACAATTCCCTCATCTGCTCCATGGTCAACTCCATCTCCATTTTTATTTCAACTCTGATTTCTTCTCGTTGCTTAGCCAGAGCTTCTTGAAGTATTTGAGTCAACTGGTCAGGAGTGATGGTGAATGCCTCCCTAGCTCACCCCATGCTGGATATTGTATTGTCGGAGGTGATTGTAGATCAAGCATCCAAAGGTTCATCATCGGAAGACAGCCCTTTGTGCATTCTTCTGTAATCTCTACATCTAGTGGATCTTAGTTAAAGTCGGAGACATTCACTAGGACAATCCTGAACCAGGATCGGAGTCATTTGGGTGTCGTTTTGACTTACCTTTATCAGCCATGTTGATGGTAACTTTTAGGAGTTCATCATCTTGGACAGTTGATCTTCTCTTACGGAAGCGTCTTGATTTGGGTCTTGATGATTCGGTGGAAAGCCTTTGGAATACTGAGACCCTCTGTGGAGCGGCCTTAGAGCAGCTACACTCTGATAATACTGCTCTGATAAGCCTCTCACATGAACAATAAGAGTTTGCTTATCGGAGGGTCCTCTTTCGGGATTTGTTCACACCTCCAGCCTAATAGTATAACTCATCGGCGTGATAACCGAAGCAACCTATCGTAGGTTGGTGTGACTTCCTAGGCATAACGTTGTCTTTTGACGGGTACATTTTCTTCTGGAGATGTGATGCCTTGCTGGCATTCTCGGGAGTCATGCATTTAGAACCACACCCTTACGAGTGTGGAATATTAACGGGTTCTTGGGCTTCGATACGAACCCCTAAGCGGGCGGTGATGGGAATTTTCCCAAGAAGGGAGGACTTTGGCTTGACGAGAGGATGTGCACGACCCCCAATCTAAGGAACTACTTAGGTTTTGTTTACTATACCAAAGCGTTCTTTAACAGGAGCTTTGCCTTAGTCTTCGTGCAAAGGACCAAGGCGATCTTCCATCATAATCTTGAATTTTGTTAGGTCCAGGCTTCCCTTAGGCTTTACCAGAGGTACGATAGCAGATGGACCAGGAGCAGACGTCGACGAAGGCGAGGAAGGTGTCGTGGAGTTGATTGTTTGGGCGAGATAGGAGGATGTGTCTTGGCCTTGGCTGAGACACCCTAGGCTGTCTCGGCTTTGAACGATACACCCTGCTACCTTTACACTTGGTTTCGGTGCAGTTCCGGACTTTGGCATCCAGATTTTATAGGATTTTAGTGGTTCTTTGTCCACCTCTTTCTTCTGTATTTCCTATGCCTTTTGCACAAGAGCACATGCGCATACGGCATATGCGCAATGCTTCTGGATGCATTCCTCGAGAGTTGAGCGAGTCATTTTAACACGAACTCATTCATCGGATGATGGTTTGGAGGAAACATCAGTATTCTGTCGTTGAGGCGGTTATAACATTCGACGCTTTCTTGGCTCCAGATCCGCGTAATAGAAAAATCTGTCAACCTATTCCAAGGCTTTGGCAAGCTGACGAGCGAGATGTTGGCGCTGCCTCTGACGATCCTACTTCGTCAGAGTTGTCGAGCTTTCATCTAACAACTCCTTGGCTAAGGAGGAGTTGTCGCTAGCAGAGACTTCGACGTGGTTAGATGCCGGAGAGGCGTTGCGAGGGGTAGCCTCAGCAACGTTTGGGTGAGACTCATCACCCTGGGCCTTTATCATAGTTGAAGACTAGCGAACCTTCTTTGAAGAAGAGATCTTTCTGCACTTGTGGGGCGAGGAAGATCTTAAGGAGAAGGATGAGAGGTACTCCTCGAACTTCTCTTGATCGAACTTGTACTCCACCGTAGAATCAACCGGGATATTGATTGGTTGCGATACTCCGGTCTCGGAAGCGAGACCGTTGACTCCCACTATGGTCGCCATCATGTTTGTGTCAGAATACGATTTCTTTCCAGAATCAATTACAATCATTTATCATTACAACGGAATAACAAGAGTGAGCCTTTTTATAAGACTTCTCTTTACAAGAGAAACAAAAAGAGAATTTCCAAGACACACGGAGAGATTGTTTATCAATCGCTGCTTGCATGGGATCTTTACCTCTGTCGGGGGTGCGTTAGCGTGTGGACCACCGATTCACAGATCCAGATTGATCGTGAAGAAGGTTTGATGTTCTTATTTCATTTTGGAAAAAAGAACAGAAGTAGATATCTCAGCAAGATAAGATAAATACTCTTCCAGATATCAAATCAAGGTTTGAATACCAAGAAAATAACTGAAGGCCTTTAGATATTTCGAAAACTTCCTATTTATGCATGAAGTTTGCCAAGATCTCCGCCTCTCTCTATGAAATTCATGAGTTTTTGCTCTCAAACCATCGATCTGGTGGATTTTTAGTTTATAACGACTTTCCCGTGTTTAAGGATATTCCCAAGGCAGTTATGGAGTCAGTGGACCGCACGAAAACCGAGGAAATCATCAAAAAACGCATCATGGGGCTTCAGCATTTGCGAGACAACCTGGTGTATCTCGGCACCCGAGACACACTGAGGTGTCTCGACACCCGAGACACATTTTTGTGTCTTAGGATTCGAGACACTTCAGACTGTCTCGCTGATTGTGAGACAGTTTTGCCGTTTTTCGTTCCGTCGTTTTGTCTTTTTGTACATTCCTTTGCTTCTTTTTGGCATCGAATGATCCTCTCTGACTCAAATAATGACATTCTTCGTCTTCTCTTCATCAAATAATGACATTTTTCGTCTTCTCTTCATCTTGAGCTGTGTTCGGGAACCTATAGGCAATTTTTTATGCTTACAACGTTTCCTCCTACAACCTAGTTATCATATATTATTTATATGATGAAATATATATGCTAGAAAATCCAAATCCACCTATTATTTTTTATCTTCATTAACTTTTTAAGAACGTATACAACATAATGAATAATTTGTATATTCTTATAGACTCTGTAATATATTCTTACTCTCTATATACAGTACTTTTTAAGAAAAAGTCCCTAGTTTTGTGGTTCGCGATTTGCCCTTTCTTAACTTTACAGCACAACTTCAGAAAACCTCTCTTTCCATTCTGTCCCCAAATTCAGAGCAAAGAGAGAACAAACTCCCTTACAAATAACAGTCTCCCACTTTTCCCTCACAACAGAACTTACAAAAGATTTGCCTTTTCCATGTACATGAATATATGCAAGGAAATCCATTATGGCTTCAATACATAAAGACTCCACTGATGACATTAGGCTATGAGAGCACTTAATGTGTTTGTTAAAGCTCATGGAAGTGGGCTTTCTGGTCAGGCTCAGGCGATTTCCCTGGGCATTGCACGAGCATTACTCAAGGTAAGTAAGAACCACAGGGCCCCGTTAAGGAAGGCAGGCCTTCTCACTAGGGATTCTCGTGTGGTTGAAAGAAAGAAAGTTGGTCTTAATTAAGAAGGCTCGCAAAGCTCCTCAATATTCACAGCGTTAATTAAGGTATAACTGAGATTTTAACTTAACATTCATATTTGTTACGTGTCTTCTGTATTTGTGAATGATTAGTAACTTATGTTGTGAAATTACGAATTATCTTTCACTGTGCATGCATTTGTGTTTGCTTTAGAGGATGACATGTCATTACTTGGTTTCAATTGATGTTGCTGCAATAATGTGTCATTTAGTAACTAATCATCTCTATTAGCCACTTTATTAAAGCTCTATTAAGACACTGATCATATCTACAATTGTTTGCCAAGGAAAATGCATCAAACATTAATTATATGGCCCAAGTCTGGTCTAGTTACACGCCTATCTTTCCTGTCAATGCTGCATTAAAAACTTCTGAGAAAAACAAAATGCAGATAAGCCTTGAACTGGTGTGACGACTACATCAATAGCTGCAGCATCAACAGCATCAGCTTCGTTGAATCCTTTTTGAATTTGATTTTAGCAAAACCTAGCAACATTGAAAATTTTTCGACATTGAATACTACGCCCCCATTGTACTAATACAAATGTATGCTATATAAAACCATGACCATGAGCGTGGATCATGAACTAATTATTTAGGTGAAGAAGAGCTATAAGAAATGGCTGAGAAATCATTGGCAATCACCCTTCTCTTGCTTAGGATCCTCACCTTGGCTTTTCACATTGTTTCTCTTGTTGTACACGTTACAGATACAGTTAATAATCCTGGTCCTGATTCGGATGAGAAACTTACGTTCAGAGCATTCTGTGGCTATAGGTTAATTAAGTGATTTTGATATGGGTTTTAGCTTTTAGGCTATTAGTACTTGAACTAGTTTAGTGGATAGCTTGGATTGCCATATTAGCACCATTTTATTTCGGGATTATTTTTTTGTAGATATATGACTGATTTATTGAATGAGAGGCAGAAGCTGGCTCCATTTATTCAAGTTCTTCCATTATGTGCTCGGCTTCTCAATCAAAGTATAAGAGATTTTGATCAATATTTCAAATATTTTTTATTTGATTATACTGCTGTTAGAAAAGAAATTAGATTCAATTATAGTGATAATAGAGAGATTATTGTGGAATTAGCTTTAGGCATGATTATTAAGTGGTACGGCTATGGATTTTGAAGTTATGAATAATACACTTGTAGTTTGGAAACAGTAACTTTTAAGGTATCTATATTTTATTATGTGAAGTTAAAATTTTCTCCATATGAGAAGTTACTTGGCGAAAGAGCTTGCTAGTTTATCATTAACCAAATCCATTTATTTAATCTCCATGCATGCCCCAACTTTATTCTTTCTTACATGGTCATAAGGTTTGAAGTTGTGCAATTAAATTGTTGTTTGGCACCGTGATATGTTAACTTCTCCTTTACTAAAAATTTAACATGTGTATAGTATATGATGCAAAGTGTAACTTTCATGTAGGCTTCATCTTGGATAATCAAGGATGAGAATATGACGAACTCGTAGAGAGTTTTAACTGGTGGCATAGATTCTCGAGAAGGAGATGCAAAGGAGTCATGCAATTGTACTCATTTTTTGTAATGAATTATAATTTTTGTTATTGTACTATTTTTTCAATGTTGGTGAACATTAAATTGTATGCTATATTTTTCTAATTATTAGGAGAATTGAACTAATACTTGTACTTTTGATTTTTGTGACATTCAATAATATACTCATTTTTGTAAAGTTTTATAATTTGTATTATTGTTGAAGAGAATTGTATTGGTGTTTGTAAGTAGATACTACTGATAATCAAGTGGATTAGTGTGGTTGTATAGGAGCAAATATTATTTATTATATATATTTTAAATAATTACTACATTTAGACGGAATTTCCATCTAGGACGTTCATCCCAGGCAGAAATTCCATCTAGAAATATTCTAGATGGTATTTTGTTCCGTCTAGGATGTATTTCCATCTAGGATAGCTTTTTTAGATGGGATTTCGTCTAGAATAATGCATTCTCGACGGAAACTTACTAAATCAACATATATCCTACACGGAATTCTATCTAGGATGATCAATTTAGACGAAAATCTAGCTATTCTAGATTAAAAATTCCGTCTAGAATTCTTTGTTTTTTACCAGTGAACAAATTCTTTCTCCCAAGTATCGTTGATCGGGCCAAATGATTAGTTGATGATAATGATCTATAAAGATCAATGAGAATAGAGGAGAAATGAGCTTTTTGCCAATGTAGCATCTTATAGTTAGCTTATTTATTTACCTTTATTTGCATCTTATAATTAGTTTCTTTTCTTATCTTTTTATTCATGCTTTATTTATTTGCTCATAATTTAAGAGTTAAAAAATACGTGGTTAAAATTCTTAGGATAATTAGGATAAGAGGAAACTAGTAGAACTTTTATTACAATTAGAATTGCTCTCATTTATACCTTAATTATTTGTGTAGAGATTAATCTATATCTATACTACTATAAAAAGAGAACTGGGATGTTAAAACTTTTAATTTCCCTTTTTACCCTCACAAATTTTAACAAATTCTATCCATGCCATTAGCTCTAATTAATCTTTCATTAAAAAAATTTACCACTTATTAATTATGCACCCCTCACCTTCCTAAATAATTATAATTATCAATAATATTATAACTATTAATTGTTTAAAATTACTAAAATTAAATAATTTATAAAATAAGTATACACAATTATTAGTAGTAACCAATTAAATTATTATAACAATTACTTATGAATTATAATAATATAATCAAAATAATAGTATAAATAGAATAATATATTCCTAAATACTAGTAAGAATTATACTATAATTCAATAAGCAATAAAATAAATAGAATAAATTTTGAATCTCATAAATAAAATAATTATTTTAATAATATCACATAAATTATGAATTACACTATTTATTTAGTATTATATTATTAAATAAATTAAATAAATAATCTAATATTATTTTTAGTATTTTCTCAAAGATTATTACATGATACTGAATAATCTAAACTTAGTAGTGATTGATAACTAACGTTTTCATAAAAAATTTATTTAGTAGTAATAATAATGCTATAATTGTTAATGATAGTAAAATAAAAATTTATAAAATATTTATAATACTAAAATATTTAAGAGCACAATTAAAAAAATTAAATTAGATAAATATTTATAGCATATAGAAAGTATATTTTAATAGTATTACTTGAACTAAGAATTATAATATTAAATAAGGTAAATTATAGTAAACCCTGTGAACTTTTAGCATTTTAAGGTAAGTAGACCCCCAAGAACTTTTGAAATCACACTGAACCCCTATTAACTTTTACAGAAAGCCCCAATACCTTTTACATAAATTACACCAAACCACGAATAACTTTCAAAATGGCTTTTTATGCCATTTTCTGGTTCTAATTTATAGGGATTATCTACAAAATTCAAAAAGTTATTAGGGTCTTCTTGCAATAGAAAAGTCATTAGGGCTTTAGTGTAATTTTAAAAGTTCATATTGGCTAAAAATTCATATATGGATTAGTGCAATTTATCCTATTAAATAATTATAATGAGAAGTAACTATAGCAATATGTTGTAGGTATCAAGTGTAACTATCTAGGGAATATTAGTAAAAAGCTAACAAGATTAATGCAGCTTAGTTAATTTAGAGTTAAATTAATAACTTTTAAGTTGGAGGAACATATTTAATAGAACTTATAGAACTAGCAGTTTTATCTAAGAACAATTTTAGATTTGGTGACTTGTTTTAAAAAAGGTTAACAATGGGCGATCATTATAAGAAAAACATTCAATTATAATAAGTACACAATAATAGTTAATTCATACTTTTCTTTTTAAGTAAGCTTATTATACAATTTTATTTATTAACACATATTTTTTACTATTTAATAAAAAAATTTAAAATTTAAAATATGTACATTTACATGAAAAGCACGTGCATTATACTAGTCAATTAAAATAACAGTTGATAGAATATTTTTATTTGATAAGTTATAATTTCCTTAAGTTGTTTTATACTTTATGCTTATTAGTATTCTAGGATTATTATTTTCAATTTATTATTTGTACACAAGTTTTAATTTCTTTTTAAGTTATTAAGGTCTTTCTCTCTTTTAGTCACTAATTTTGTTAGTTTTCATCTTTTTGTTCTTTTTCTAATTCTTTTAGTTTTTGTATTTTCTTTCTAGTTTACTTACCACTCCATTTTCTGTCAAGTTTTTCTCTCTTGTTTTTATTTTTATTTCTTTTATTTTATTTATCATTTTCTCTTTTCATAATTGCATTTCTATTCTCACCTCTCTCTCTCTCTTTCAGTTTACATATTCTTTTCTTTATCAAAAATCCATAAACCCACTTTCAACCTTTTTGTAAAAACTTATTTTCAAACAACTTCATTAAAAAAATTCCAACTTAAAAAAATTAAAGAAACCCCTCCTCGTGGTTCTACGTTTTCTACACTATAACTTGTTGTGTATTTGTACAACACACATTTTCGCACACAAAAAGTTTTTGGTGTCATTGCTGCTGTCCAAAAAGAGAATAAATTAGATTAAATCTGAAATTAAAAGAGTTAGAACACCAGGCCTGAACGGGTGTAGTCATGATTCACTGCCCTAGAAGATAGAGGACTCGCCTATCGCCCGGGCGCAGTCGATCCTCTTCCCCGTAGCGGTAAAAGCCCACGGAAACGGTCGGCCTCCGTACTCGGGCGAGAGCACAAAGCTTCTGCTCAGACGAAGAAGGTTGCCCAAAATAAATAACAATATCGAGAATATAGTAGCACAAAACCCCGTTATAATTATCTCTCTATTTCTTGTTCTTTTCTTTCTCTCACTGTTTTCTTTTTTTTTCTTTACGTGAGATGAGAGGAGAGAGAGTAGGTAGAGAAAGTGAATGTGTAAATATGAGATGCTGATGCTTTTATATATAACCACGTCGTCTCACTATTAATAGGCAGGCATGCCCAGTGGACGCATGATGCATGGCAGAGATGCTTTTATATATAACCACGAAGTCTAACAGGCGCCAACGCATCCTCCTGAGATCATTAATGAGACTCTTCACATCCAAGTCTAATTAACCACCACTCGATGCTGAAAGAACAGTCTAGGTCGTCTCAATTGCTCAATTAGCTGTACACCTATATGAAAAGGCTACGCCCGGGTCAAATAAAACCATACACAATACTTGAAGAAATAAAAAAACAACTAATTTCTCATTAAGATGATGGGTCTTCTACAATAGCTTGATTTTATAAGCAACGAGTAGCGAAAAACAAAGAGAACCAGCTACTCCCTCTCTGAGTCTTCACTCGAGGAGCTTTAAGGATCCCTGCAAAGGCACCACCGAAGTCTCCAAACATTCCTCCATAGATCCCAACACTGAGATTGCCACAGAAATTTGTCCTTGACTTCCTCCTGCATTGACTTTGACTGGTTTTCTATGAACTGCTCGAGGCTTGCCTTCCTTGCTAGCAGAACGTCCATCAGTTGATGAAGGACCTCATTCTCTTCCTCAGGCCCGCCGGTGGACAAGGTCAGCTATTTTTTTGGGCGCTCGATCTCCAATTCCATGTAGATGAAAGGCATTAGAACACAAGGTGTAGTAGATGAAGGTATCATCACTCCGTCTAAATACCCATTTATAAGCACACTCTTCCAATTGGCGCGCGACGAGTGGCTTGATTACTTCATAATCCAACCCCATAATTATGATAAAAGAAGTCTAGTTGTCAATCTCCCATTATAAGGAAGGTGATTAGACTACTCAAAAGAAAAAAAACCCACTTCAAGTCTCAATTCGAAGCCACACCATAGCCCATGTGCGGTGCATGCATACACCCAACACGCTCATCACCACTCCCAAAAAGTCACCCAGGCGAATCTCAAGAGGGCATCCCTTGTCAACACAACACCCAATCAAGCTTTGAGAGTCATCAAAAGGGGGAAACTACATGCTTATCATTACACATGCAAGATGATATCATCAAACTCCTTAGTACGCACTAGTAGAAAACAGGGCATTGGCGACGGGGTATTGGCGACGGATTTGAAATCCGTCGCCAATACAAACATTGGCGACGGAACATTGGAGACGGGGTTATCCCCGTCGCCAATGTTTGTATTGGCGACGGGTTTCAATCCGTCGCCAATGATTTTCCGTCGCCAATAACTTTAGGCGACGGAAAAACATTGGCGACGGATTGACTCCGTCACCAATAAGTATTGGTGACGGATTCAATCCGTCGCCAATAAGTATTGGCGACGGATTCGATCCGTCGTCAATGATCCGTCGCCAATACGTATTGGCGACGGATTTTATCCGTCGCCCATAATTATTGGCGACGGATTCGATTCGTCGCCAATAAGTATTGGCGACGGATCATTAACGACGGATCAAATCCGTCGCCAATAAGTATTGGCGACGGAACATTAGCGACGGATTGAATCCGTCACCAATACTTATTGGTGACGGATCGAATCCGTCACCAATAAGTATTGGCGACAGATTTGTTCCATCGCCAATACATATTGGCGACGGAACATTGGCGACGGATCAAATCCGTCGCCAATAAGTATTGGCGACGGATTCGATCCGTCGCCAATACTCACATCTTATATATTAAAAGGAATAATTCTTATTTATGAATTATTCTTTAATACTTGAAAGTTAAATTCTTTAAGTATTCGTTTAGAGAAAATTATGACTTTGATTAGTTTAGAGAAAATGATGCGGAAAGTGAAAATAATGAGAAAATGATGAGATACCTAGGATATCATTTTTAGTTATACGTGTCACGAACATGTAACCATATTGATATTGCTAATGATATAGCAAAACTTATCATAGCCCTTTTTAATTAATTAGGAATATGATATATATTGGAGAAAAAAGAAGTTTTTAATGAATTTGGGTTTCCACGTTGTAATGAGACAACTATATATAGGTCCAAATGGGTTGGATTTTTATAATTAAAAGTTTAGAGATATACTGGTAATAATAGTTAGATTTAAAGGTCCAAATGAGTTATATCGAATCCGTCGCCAATGAGGATATCATTTTTAGTTATACGCGTTACGAACATGTAACCATATTGATTTTGCAAATGATATACCAGAACTTATCATATATCTTTTCAATTAATTAGGAGTTCTATGTTAGTTTAAATTTTGTTTTTTACTCTTTATGCTAGAAAATCCGATGAGCTCTACTACTCTTTATTCTTTATGCTAGCAGATTCGATATGAGCTCTACTATTCTTTATGCTAGCAGATTCTATGTCGCCCTCTACATCATTAATGAATTTGAGATGAGCTAAATGATATTTAATCACTAAAGAAATGAATGAAAATTGTCACGCTCCAAAACTTCAGTGAATATTCATAAACACGGGTTACGAGACAACATCGACCCTTGCACAAGACAAGTCCCGTGTACGAGTCAAGCCTGACACTTTATATCACGTACCTCAACTCAAAACATATACATCCCCCGCCCGCTCGCCTCCCACAACCGAAGCGCGCCCCCCTCTCGCCGCGCGCCCCCGCCCGCCCCGTCGGATCCAGCGTCCAGCCCCCCTTGCACCGCCGCCGGATCCAGCCAACTGTTTTTCATCTTGGGTACTTCAACTGCTGCTGGGTAAGAAAATTTCCTGATCAATTTTTATCATTGTTGTCTTAGTTTGACTGGGATTCTCATGGAAATGCTTACTCTGTGTTCTTCAATTATTCTATCTTTCCTTGTCCATGGGAATGTGATTGGGAATTGATTTTACAAGTTTACTGATCAAAAACTCGTCCCTCCGTTAATTAATCATCTGCCTCAGTTTGCTCTACTTGTTCTCAATTGTTGTTGGCAGCATTTTCTGTTTTAATTCATTTAGATCATTAGTTGTAGTTTATGATCTGTGAATTGGAGAGCAGATTTTGGTATAAATCAAGGGTTTTATTACCTTCTGTTGGGTAAAAATCAATCCGGAATTGTATACCATTTTTCGAGCTTAGAAAGAATTGGAGAGCAGATTTTGGTTCGTTTATGATCTGTGATGTTACTTTTATAGCACAGAACTGAGGAGCACGAATCTCTTTAGGAATTCTTGTTTGATGAACTAATTCCACACGGATTGGTGTTGGTGAGGAATTAGAATTGGAGCGATGCAATATAATTTTACTCATAATCTTATTTTTAACAGGTAAGCTTAATTGGATAGAATATGACTTCGAAGAGAAAAAGAGTTTTATTACCTTTCTTTCGCAGACCACGTTATCTGAATCAAATAAGTAAACAGGATGTATGCATGCTAATTCTCATAAGTTGTTACAAGTTAAGCCCTTGTTTTATACTCACAAGAGAAGTTGATAATTTGTTATATAACATTATGATCTTAAAAAATTGTTATGTGACCTTTTATGCCTCTTTCTAAGCATGACGTGTGTGTAGTCACGTGATCAGATAGCATGATTTTGTCCTTTTTAAGTCAATTTTAAGTCAATTTGAAAGATAATTTTTATTCTTTAACTAACTAATTAAATATTTTGGACTTTGATTATACTAAATCGCAGACTCATTATTCGAACGCCTCCATCCTCAACTCCAACCACCGTCGGCATTCTCCACCTCCTTGAAAGGTTTGTCTTCACATATTTCTAGTTTTTTGTTTTTTAATATTATAAACTTATTATGCAATTTAATGTTGTTAGTTGATCATAATCATGCAAATGTAGTTATCCTAAACCTAAATGACCTATTTTTAACTCTACTTTCACAAAAAATCTAATATTACCCTAATCATAACCTTAATATCGTAATAATCCAACAATAACCAATACTATTCATGCCTTACTAAAACTGAACTTAAATGCTACTCTAATGCCAATTATACTTAGTGTGATATATAACACAAAAAATATGTTATATATCCATTATAGGTGAATAAAAAATTAGTTAACGACAACCGTAGATCCCCGTCCAATAATTACTACCAATTTTTTTGGAGTTATAAAATAAGATAGACGACTCAAATTTCGGTATGAAATTTAATTCTATACCGAAATTGATCGTTTACCTTATATTATAAGTAGAAATAATTGGTACGTAACTATTGGATCTGTCCAGTTCGGACGGGTTAGGAATATAGTAGTGCACACATCTAACTTTGTATACTTTGTGCATTTTTATTTCTAGAAAATTTTGGTCGCACGTACTCGTTGTTCTCCGTGTACAATAAGCGTATGTTGTTATGCGTTTCGGTCTATTATTTATCGATTTTGATCTATTATCGATACGCATAATAACATCCGTACAGTGTACTCGGAGAACAGCGGGTAGGTGCTGCCGAAATTTTCTAGAAATAAAAATGCACAAAGTATTCAAAGTTAGATGTAAGCACTACTATATTCTTAATGGGATAGAAGTCTTCCTATGACAGCCGAGAAAGTTTTAGACTAACCTATTGTTTGTTCAAATGTAGACAATGAAGTTTATTACGTAGAGAGTGTTTAGTCCAATTTACTACAACAATGATTATTACATAGACCAATTTAGTCCGATTTAGTAAAACGTTTTATGAGATATTAAGATAATTAATAATTATACTTAATATACAGATGAGAGAAGTTCCTGACAAGTCGTGGATTGATATACCTATTATGAAAAGAAGAGAGGGTGGTGACACTCGATATCGTGAAGGATGGGAAGCGTTCCTTGAGTATGCGTATGCGAATCCGAGGAAGTTAGAAAATGATTTGCTGTTTTGTCCATGTAGTTTTTGCAGAAATAGGGGTTTGGTGGATAGAGTTACTATACAAAAACACTTAGAAAGATGGGGATTTGATGAAAAATACAAATATTGGAGATTTCACGGAGAAGATGACGATATTGAACCAGCTGACGGAAATATAAATCTAAGAATAGACGATACACATGCAATGTTCAATGATATTGCCGCAGTTACAGAAGTTGCAGAATTTCCGGAGGTTCTTGAAGTTCCCGAAGATGCAGAAGGTGTCGAAAATGTTGATGATGTGCGTGATACCGATAGCTTTAAAAGTTTAATGAAGTTATTAGAAGATGACGAAAAGGATTTGTATGCCGGTTGCTCAGAGTATAGTAGATTGTCGTTTATTCTTCAACTGATGCGTATTAAGACCCTCAGCGGAATGGCAGATAAATATTTTCAAATGCTTCTTAATTTACTACGCAAGGTAATTCCGGATGGAGAGAATAGCATACCAGAAAAATGTTATGATGCAAATAAGATCGTTGGCGCTCTCGGTTTAGATTACACAAAAATCCATGCGTGTCCTAATGATTGTATCCTGTATTATAAGGATAATGAGAAGCTTGAAGAATGTCCAAAGTGTGGAGTGTCTCGTTGGAGAAAGAATACACGCACTTCAACACGAAAGGCAGATGAGCCTGTTAAGCAGCCGAAGAAAATTCCAGCGAAGGTGCTCCGACATTTTCCCTTAGTACCGCGTTTACAGAGGTTGTATATGACAAAAGACACAGCTAAAAACATGCGGTGGCATAAGGAAGGACGCGTAGTTGATGGTAAACTCAGGCATCCGGCAGATGCAGATGCATGGGAGCATGTTGATCAATCTTTTCCTTGGTTTTCCACAGAGTGCAGGAATGTTAGACTCGGTCTATCTAGTGACGGATTCAACCCGTTTGGCATTATGAGTTCAGGTTGGTCTACTTGGCCCATTGTGTTAATACCTTATAATTTACCACCTGGACTTTGTATGAAGCAACCGTATATGATCCTTTCATTGCTGATACCAGGCAAACACTCACCCGGTAATGACATAGATGTGTTCATGGAGCCGTTAATTGATGAGTTAAAACTTCTCTGGGATGAAGGGGTCCAAACGTATGATGCATTTTCCCGTCAAACGTTTAATCTTCGTGCTATTCTTATGTGGACCATTAATGATTTTCCAGCTTATGCTAATCTCTCCGGTTGGTCTACAAAAGGAACATTTGCTTGTCCCGTATGTGGTCCAAACTTTGAAGGCTTTCATTTACAACACAGTAGAAAGATGTGTTATTGGTTTAACAGAAGATGGTTACGTAAAGGACATAAATACAGAGGGAAAAGGTGGGCGAATAAGTTTGATGGCCAAGAAGAGAAAAGAGGAGAGCCGCATGTAATGACTGGAGATGAAATTGTAGAATTATTTGAGGGATATCCTAAAAATAAGTTTGGAAAGAGCCGATATACAAGAGAAGATATTCTAGCTCCAAGACGCATTTCCATTATGAAGAAGGCACCGAAACGAAAGAGAAAAGTGTGCATTACGGATGAGACACGTGATGAGGAATTACCAAAAGGATGGACAAAATTTAGTATATTTTTTCAGCTACCGTACTGGCAAAAGCTAAAAATTCGGCATAACCTAGATGTAATGCATATTGAAAAAAATATATGTGATAACCTGTTGTCCACACTCTTACAGGATGGTAAGAAATCAAAGGACGATTTACGAGCTCGGCGAGACTTGAATGCATTGAACATCCGACATGATCTGCAAGCACGAGAAGTTACTGAAGGCAAATTTGAGTTGCCCTCATCTCGCATTACGATGACAAAGGTTGAGATGCAAAGATTCTGTGAGGTGCTCAAATCGGTAAAGTCGCCAGATGGTTACTGTTCTAATATTTCAAATAATGTCCAGGTGAAAGAGCGAAAAATTTTGGGACTTAAGACTCATGATTATCACATCCTTCTTCACCAATTGCTTCCCGTGGCACTCCGTAACAATATGGCTGATGATGAAGTAGCAAAGGTTATAATTGAATTCTGTGGATTTTTTAGAAAGTTATGCTCAAAAGTTATCAATGTTACAGAATTTAAGACACTAAAAGGAGAAATGAATGAAACCCTTTGCAAAATGGAGTTATTCTTCCCTCCCTCATTTTTTACTATTATGGTCCATCTTACACATCATCTTGTAGATGAGGCATTACTCGGAGGTCCAGTTAACTATCGTTGGATGTATCCCATGGAGAGGTTAGTTAAAATTCAATAAAGTCACTTTACCTAACATGTAATTATTTTATCTTAATAACTAAAGTTATTTTTGTTTTTTTAGATATTTGGGTTTCTTGAAGCGCATAATGCGCAATCGAGCTCATCCGGAGGGTTCGATTGCTGACCATTACGTTGCAAATGAATGCATGTCTTTTGCCTCTCGATATATGCGAGGTGGAGATGCAAATAATAATACACAAATTAGTAAAAGAGATGCCACTTTTCATGGCAGTACCAAGATGAACAAGGATTACTCCAGAATAGACTTGGAACAAGCTCATGCATTCGTCTTGCACAATCTGGAGATCTTTGAAAATTATCGAAAGTAAGTATATTAACTTTAATAAAAGTGATAATTTTTTTATTTATATAATTATTAATCTCTTATATTGTATCAATAGTCAACATTTGGAGGAGTTGCAGTTAGAAATAACTGGGCCGTCAGCACGGAATCAAATTGCCAAAATACATGAAAAAAAATTTTCTGAATGGGTTTCAGCTGAAGTAAGTTTTGTGAATTTTAATTTTAATTAACTTTGAGAAAACTTTAGAATAACTTCTTAACGATCGTTTGTTTATTTTGTTTAACATTAGGTAGAAAGACAAATATTTGCTGGTTTACCAATATCAGAAGAGATAAGAATTCATGCACACGGGCCACACTACACAGTTAAACAATGCAGCGGATATCGTGTGAATGGGTTTTTATTTCAAAAGTTGGGGATTGAGGAGGAGAGAGTTACTCAAAACAGTGGGGTCATGGCTATCTTCTCTCAAGAATGTTATGCAAGCTCGACAGATCAGAATCCAATACTTAATGATCTAATTTATTATGGACAACTAGAAGATATCTTGGAGATGTTCTATGCGTATGGTACAAAAGACGTACGTAGTTATGTGATGTTTAAGGTTCGATGGTGTCATGCTGAAATAACAAGAGATGCATATGGCTTTAATCTTGTAAATCTAGACAAGGAGATTTACTCCGATTTGAAGTTCATGTTTGCAAAGCAGGCTACTCAGTGCTTTTATGTCAAAGATCCTAGACAGCCGAAGGTTTGGGTCGCATTGTATAAGGAGCCGAGAACTCTTGTTGAACTTTCTCTCGATGAAAACATAGAGGGTTCTGATGATCCAAATGAGACTGAAGGAGAAGTTTTTCCTAATTACTCATACCCGCAAAATGTCCATCTTAATATGTATACTCCGCAAAATCGGCTTGATATTCGTAATGTAGGAGATTGAATGTCGAAATATTAGTACTTTTAAAATTTAAAGTATTAACTTTGTCGTTTTAATATATATTTTTTATTTTGTCAATGCAATTTTCAACATTCACTTATTTTGCTTCAATAAATTGAATAATCATTTAAGATGCAGATGAGCCGAAGGATAAAGCGCATAGGGGAAGTTTCCCACAATCAAGCAAATTCATCATCAGGTATAAATATTAATTTTTTCAAATAAATTGTGTTTGTGATATAAATATGCAAATTTCGCATTTATAATTATATTTTTTACGTGTAGGAATGTCCTCATGACCTTATAGTAGTCCATTATCTCTACATGGATCCTCACCCGTTGAAGGTATTAATTTATTTAATATCATTAAGTTAATTGAGAAACTTATTTACCTATATTATTTTTATTACTTTCGTAGATATTGCGGGGACAGATACACATGCATCTCCTATGAGTCCACCTATGAGTCAACGTCATCATCGGGATTCATCGCCTGGTCTAGGTATTAATTTTAATGTCCATGGATATTTTATGTTCCATATAAATATTTATTTCACATTTTATATTGCAGACAATCATCATGATGGATCCAGTGATGACGAGATCCAACACGAGTCTTTTGCGAGATCTTCTCAGTCGGAAGTTGAATGTCTCCGTCCATGGACTGAAGCAGTAAATTCCATCCCCTTACCAGAAAAGGCTATCACATTGCAAAAGAAATGCGATAGGAACTATAAAAAAAGGAGAGAAGACATTAAAAACAAGGATAGTATAATAAAGCAGAGACTAGAAAAGGCGATGTCAGATAAGTTGAGGGAAATGGGTAAGAATATCATGTAAAATATTGATCAATCTTCGTTATTTAATTATTGAAGTTTTTAAAAAAAATCTCTCTTTGTCTTTGTAGGGAACAAGGACTACGAGAAGGCCGGTAGACACGGCAGTGATCTGTTTACGAAGGTACCTCCTAAAGGTTATCGAGCCATTTTGGGGTGGATGGGCAACATTCCAGTTGGAGATTACGCCGTCAGATTTAATAATTTGATCGGTTGTTTAATCAGAGACCCACACTACATTAACATCGCTCATAACTTTGATGAACAACAATGGAATGGAATAAAGAAGATATGGGAGAGGCTCATGGTAATTATTCGTTATATTGTTTTTTCAATAAATATTTATTTAATTTTTTAATATTGCATGTTTTTGTAACACCTAATTTGTAGAATCACTATTGCCTTGAGGACAACCCGGACTCTTGGGATTACGTAATGAGTAGAGCGAGCAAGATGCTTCGGGGGTGGAGGAGTAGACTTAAGAGTCAATACTTTACAGATATAACCATTGATTGGAAGCGGATTCATCAGCTTGATAAGAGGGTTCCTCCTTATAATTGGATGACTCTCATTATCGAGTGGGAGGGCGAGAAGAAGGTGAGTTATTTTTTAATTAATTATATTACCACCACATATACTGAAAAATTACTTTATTTTGAAGGATAAATGTTCGATAGCATCGGCTAATCGCGGTGCAAAGCTATATGATCACTTTCTAGGAGCTACTCCCTACGCTCGGATCGAGCATAAATATTTGCGTGAAAATCCGGTTAGATCAAAATATTAAAACTCAACTCATGTTACTATTTTCATACGTTATTAGAAATAACTTGAAATTTGATTAATCATAGGACGCCTTGACTATGCCGCCAACTCTTCTTGCTAGAAGTGCATATACACCACCCGAGGGCTATGATAAGGAGGGAAAGATGACGAAAATTAAGGATATGCATGTAAGTATAAGCTTAATTTCATATTGGCACACATGTATTTCTAATTAGAATTCATCAATGTTCGAGATACCAATTTATAGTGTAATGCATTCATGATCTGCTTAAGTTATTCATTCAATGGTGCTTTTGCTAAACATCATGGAACAATTGATGTTTTTGCTGGGAATTGAAGTGATAGCTTCATCAATACAAGTTTACATATATTTTCCAAATGACCGCTGACCAATGTCCAACACTAATGCTTTAGAGCCGATATACGGCTTGGCTGGCTGTGGATTATCTTTTGCCGTAATTTAATGCTTCAAACTATGCTACTTTCAATATTCAATGAAGACATAAGTTTGTTGGCGGGTGAAACCTAACTCTAATTCAGGTTTGTAATTATTTGATCTTTGGTCAGCTCGGGCTTTTAGCAAGATATTTGTGGTGTCCATTTTCTCTGGTTAGAGATAAGTCATGCTAATAAAAGGTGATCCATTAAGATTATAGCCTAGTCTATATAATGTTAAAAAAACGAGCCAAATCCTTTGTATGTTAAATTCTTATCTCGCGCTAGTGTTTTTGCTAGGTGGAGATCAAAGCTTTTCTGGCTGTGCTTTTTGAACGGAAACAGGCGCCGGGTGAATAGTTTTTTACGGTCAAAGCTTCAATGAACTGTACGCACTTGAGTTTAGTTTTGCAGGAGCTTTTGACTGAAGCGGATGGAGATTGAATTCGATATATGCAAATATGTAAACAGGGAGGGCCTTATCTGGGCAAATTTGCTCCCGTACTTCAAAGCGCTAGCTGCTTATCTTCGCGGTATTTGTAACGAGAGTCATTGAACTTCAGCCTAGCTGTGATGTATTTGTAACAGTCTGAACTTAAAGCCTAGGCTGCACGACTCATATTAATACGCAGTATGCTTTGTACGAAGAAGGTAAAAATCATGTCCAGTGACATATCTTTTTTCTTTCAGAATCATAGCTGAAAATGTCGACTATAAATGAAATAGAAAGTGAGTCATATATGCTTTGCAGCTTAATTCATACATTTGTCTTATTTATTTATTTTCTATTGGTTTGAGTTGCGCATTGCTTAAGAGCTGCCTAATTTATTTATTTCTATTGCTATAATGTTATTTAGGAAGGCGGCTTGAAGCTTAAACAAGACTTTTGTCTTGTCCCAGTCCTCAGAGCATAGAGAACACTCCTACCGATGCCTAATCCGCATGACTAGATGAGCAATGGAGGGAAATTGTTGATGGAGTTTATGGCCTAACCAATCAGAAAGGGAGGTGACTTTAAATCAAGTGCAAAAGTTAGGATAGTCTCCACTTAGCAGGAATATACACAAATGGACTCGTACCGCTGGATCAATGCGACACAAGTGTGACATCCGTACGTCGTGGGCTAAAATTGGACAGTATTTAATGGCACAATGTTCAACCCTGCGATGTTTTTTCAAATTTATTCCATTATTACGCGCGAAGCTAGTTTGGGGTGCAGCAATCGACTTGGGATGTTGTGCAGCGCCTCAGTGATTGTCCATACGCGTTGAAGGAGATTCTTCCTGGAGTCGATATACTTAGAGATGCTTCTAAGTTGGAGGTTTGCCGAGCACTGAAAGCATCAAGGTTGGTGGAGAGGTATATTATGAGCGCGACATATTTTTATATTATTATATTTTTGGTATATAATATATCTTATGTGGAGTGACCTATTCTTTCAGAATGGAGGAGGGTATTGTAGGGAGCAAGGCCGAGTAGGCGATAGCGACGTTCTATATGCGACCGATGCTGATAACAGGGATGCCGACGATGAACGAGAGAGTGAGTGAGACTTGTGTTAAGACATATCATGACTTTTGGAATTTTAACATATGATAAAATATATACTGTGATTTTAATTGCATAGTGAATGAATATTATTTGAGCTATCGCGAGATCAGTATTGTGGATTGTGATTATATGACGAGTATTATTCGCTATTGTGGAATTGACGGATGAAATTGAATGTGTGTGGAATGTGAATGTATATCATGGTGGTTTTATGATATATTTGTTAAATATTGTCATTGACGATTACAGGTTATATGTGTATTCTCTGCGTATGGGAGGCTACCAGAAAATTAACAATTTTTTGCGTAAATATATAACAATTGGCGACGGGAAAATCGTCGGCAGATAAACATTGGCCCGCGGGGTAATCGTCGTCAATGTTAACAACATTCGGCGACGGACTACCCGTCCCAATAAAGATTGGCGACGGGTGATCCGTCCGGCCATCGTTCAAAACATTGGCGACGAGCTACCCCGTCGCGCAATGTTATTAGCAAGACGGGGTGATCCGTCGCCAATAGTTTAAACATTGGCGACGGATTTTCCCTGTCGGCCACATAAACATTAGTGACAGGGTGATCCGTCGCAATGTCAAACATTGACGACGGAGCTACCCCGTCGCAATAAACTTGGCGACGGGGTAGCCCGTCGCCAATGTTTGAACATTGGCGACGGATCACCCCGTCGCCAATAAACATTGGCGACGGAAGTAACCCGTCGCCAAAGAAATCCGTCGCCAATAGTCGTGCGTCGCCAATAAGTATTGGCGACGGGGTAACCCGTCGCCAATACTTATTGGCGACGGATTTATTGGCGACGGAAATGGGCCCGTCGCTAATATGTATTGGTGACGGATTTTGGGGCATTGGTGACGGATTTCCCCGTCGCCAATGCCCTGTTTTCTACTAGTGACGCCTTTGAACGATGCCATCATGACCCAAACAGCCGACTCCATATGTGATTGGGATGAGTAGGGTCAAGTTTGAAAATGTTATACATTACATCTCTTCTAAGACAAACATACATCAAGCTCATCAGTGTACCTCTAAACGTTGCTACTCGACGACATTGTTGTGATCCTCAGTATGCCTCTTAACGACATCATCATGACCTGAACAGCTGACTCTACATGTGAGTTGGGCCGAGTAGGCTCAAGTCTCAAAACATTACACATTACACCTCTTTCAAGATAAGCATCCGTTATGCTCATCAATATGTCTCTGAACATTGCTACCAAGAGGATATCATCATGCTCCTCTGTATGCCTCTGAATGACATCATATGACCGAACAGCAGACTCCACACGTGAATTAGGCTAAGTAGGATCAATGTTTAGAATGTTACATATTACAGCTCTTCTAAGACAGGTGTCTATCAAGCTCATCAGTACACATCTGAATGTCACTACCCGGATAATATTGTCATGCTCCTAGTACGCCTCTAAATAGCATCATCGTGACCCAAACAGCTGACTCGACCGACTCCACACATGGTCGAGTCAAATAGGGTCAAGTCTCAGAATATTCCATATTGCACCTCTTTCTAGACAATCATTGATCAAGCTCATCAATACGCCTCTAAAGACGACTCCTGTTGACACGTTCAGTAAAACAACTATGTTAGACCATCTCCGAAAGACCAATGAAATGCATCCTCGAAGATAATTCAACATGCATGCTTTTTGTAGTAACACCCCCTCTATACATAACACCATCCCTACCAAGCGCTATAAAATATGTTAATGGCAAAAAAACTGCCTGAAGAAATTTAAAGTTTTTGAAGATCCAAGAGTCATGTAGGTGGTTAAAAAATACAAATTGTTCAATAAAGATGAGTCATACATGAAGATGAACCTCCTAAAAACACTTGGTTGTCCTAAGTAAACCCAACAAAGCCAAAGCAACTTGTTAAATGAAAGAATAAACTAAAAAAATCTACATATCTACCACGTGTTCCTTCCCTTGCCCTAGAGACTAACCATTTCATGTGAAGTTTGGCCTAGAGACACCTTTTGATTAAGAGTATGGCTTCCTCTCGTGGATTTTGATCTAAAGATGACCTTTAATTCAGACTTGGAACTATTGATTGGGCCAAACTTGGCTAGCAGGGACTTGTCTATATTCAAGACAGGTCCCTTGATCACTTAATTTTAGCCATATGAATCACATGTGGCTGACTCTGTATAACCCAAGGAAACACAATTTAGCATAGACCCGAGAACCCATGTGGACCTAAACCGACATGTACACTAGCAAGAAGTATGGAGATATGTATGGACCAACTATACATGCCATATAGAAGGTGAGGCACCATTGACACGATCTAACATGTCCCACACAAGTCTAATCGCAATTGACACCCATTTAATGCATTAACATCTGCAAGCCGGTGACACACGTAAATCAAGGTGCATGGTCTAAGTCAAATGCACTACCAAACCTAGTGTGTCACTTGAATTGCTCACAATGGGGCTGGGCGGTTACAATAAAGTCTATTGATTGGAAAAAAATTTATTTCCCTTAAACTGAAGAGATAATTTATCATCATGGGATTTCCTTGTCATATGAGAGAATTCCCTTGTATATATCGACATAACACAACCAAGTACTATTTCTCATATAATAATGATGTTATTCACCCTCAACCAAGTGATAATGGCTGAAAGAAAGATAGATCCTTTAAATCAACTAATTTTGATCTCACATAATTATTCAAAAAATGGTGTTACTTTGCTCATATGGTCTATGGAGCCAATATCTAGTCTCTATCGGCATCGCTTTCTAGAGTATCAAGGTTAACTAAAGACACTTTAACATTATTTTTTATTTTGCAAGAGATTAATAAAAGAAAATCATGAATCTTTTTGAATCTTTTGACTAAAAACACCTACCACCACGACATTGGACATGATACCAACGAATGTCGTGCCATTAGAGTAGACATGGAAAACCTCATCCAAAAAGGAAATTTAAAGAAGTCTATTAACAGCCGCCCCTAAGAAACGGAACATCTTTCGAAGCAAATCGACCTCACAAAGGTGATCAGCTGGAATGTTCCAGAACTCCTCCTTGACGCCATTAACCAGAATCTCAAGGAAAAGTTATCCACTTCATCCAAGGAGGCCCAGAGATTCTAAAAAGAAGTAGACAAAGGAAAAGATGTGTGAGCGATAGCAATGGAGTTGTTTGTGGAAAAATTTATAGTAAAAAGAAATAAAAGAAAAGTTGATTTGTATTCTCTCAAAATCGATTACAATTTGGATTTCCTGATTACAAAAGAGAGGAGAACGAATTTGATTCTTTCCTTTGTTTAAAACTGGGTTCTTCTTGGTAGCGATGGAGTGCCTTCTTCGATTGCTTGCGTCGAATTTGCTCTCCGTTGACGATCCGACCGTCTTTTATCTTGTGGGAACAATGAACTTCTGTGAAAAGTTTGATGAATAACTCTTAACGAGTTTTAGAACTCAGAACGAGTTAGAACTCTATGAAAACTCTATGAAAAGAGTTGTTAGAACCAAAAATTCGGTTAATGGCCAAGCAGATTTTCTGTTGTTGAAGGATTCTTTTAGATTTGATCCTCTGAATCTGAGTTAAATTTTCTGTTTCGAAGAATTCGCCTCTACTATCTCCAGAGAAAATCCTAAGCTCCGAACCTCCTTGCGGTTTAGATGCTCCAGATCCAATCCATCAGCCCACCCTACTCGGTTGAGTTTTTATAAGTGGATAAGAGGTTATAACTGCCATCTAAATCCGCTCCTAAGTGGGTGTGATTTCCTCAGATCGTGGGGAAAACGGTTCTGAAACCGTTCAACTCATATTTGAATGAGTCAAACGCCCAATTTGGCGTTCAGAACCCTAACTTCGCGTCTTGGAATTGAGACGCGAGGTTGGGTATTGACTAAATGTCAAAAACACGAGGGCCGCTCGCGTTTTGCTTGTTGCAGCTTGAAAACGCGGGGGTCGCCTTCATTTCAAGAATTGTAACACGAAGATGAGTTCCGCGTTTTAGAAGGAGCTAGTTGATTTGTAACTTCTTCTGTAGAGCGTTGCAAGGAACATTGTTCAGTAATCCTCGCATTAGCTGTTGTGGGGTATGAAAGTCGACATATTGTAACTTTCATTGTAGATTGTGAAGACTACTGAATAGAGTTTTTATCAGTTGTCAGAAGTGTCATTGAATTGTAACTCTTCTCGCTCTACGTGAAAAGTCCTCCATTTGCAGCTTTCGTTTATTAGCATGAAAGCTATTTGATTATAACTTTCATTGTTGGAGCTTGATGGGATTAGCTATCCATTATGATTTTTAGACAGCCTACAGGAGTCCACCTAGTCTATAAATAAAAAAAACCTCAGGAGAATGGCCCTTAAATTTTAAAAAAGAGATTTAGAAGGGGTAAAATCACATCATGATGACGCACTCGCCATCCAAGTTGATGTCGCTAACCACATCCTAAGAAGAATCATGATTGATACCAACATCTCAGCTAACATTTCGTTTCTTAAGTCTTCAATCAAATGGGAGTCAACAAAAGCTACAATTCTGCCTGAAGTGCATAATTCGTTTTACCAGACATGCCATCAAAGATGAAGGTATCATTTCTCTACCTCTGACCATCGAAAAAACCCCAAAGCCATAATCATCAACTTCTTGGTCATGGACTTAAAATCTCCATATCCGGTCCTCAGATGACCATCGCTAACTAGCGTGAGGGCTGGGATAGCTCCTTACTGCCAACAGATGAAATTTTCAAACCCTTGGCGAGAAGGTGGGCCTAAAAGTGACCAGCACCAATCCCACACGTGTTATGCCAATTCTATGAAGGGCAAAGGAGCAATCAAAGAATCATCCCCTAGGAAAACAGTAAAAGAGGAGGAAACAAGGAGCGGACCAGTTTTGTTGAACCTCTACAAGAAATCACACTAGAAGGTGGAAAGAAGATACAAATCAATCCAATCCTAGTCAAACACCCCAGAAGTGAAATTATAACTTTCCTCTAAGC